AGGCAGGTGCTCGTGCCACTGAGTTACATCCCCAGCCCAAGATGACCATTTTTTGCATTAGGCCTTTAAATTTGGAGGTATGATTTTTTATGTATGTTCTAGGTATTAGTCTCTTGTGTGAGGAATAGCTTACAAAAATTTTTGCCACCCAGCTGTTCCCCTTCTGGATATCTGCCCCCCAAAATTAAAAATATCACATCACAGCAATATATGCACCCATGTTTATAGCAGCACAGTGTGTAATAGCAAAATCTTGGAAACAGCCCAAATGCCCATCAACTGATGAATGGATAAAGAAGAAGTGGGTTTTTTTATACCATGGAGTACTATTGAGCCATAAAGAAGGATAAACTTGAGACATTTCTAAGTATATGAATGCACCTTGAGAACATACTCTTAGGTGAAATAAATAAGACACACATGTGTAAATATCACATTGTTTTGCTGGTGTGAAAAACTCAAAGTGTAAGTAAGAACCAAAATGTATAACAGATATTGTGAAATAGGAAGAAAATGTTCAAATAGGAAGGGGAAAGGAAGGAAGGAAAAAGAAATTAATGAGAAAAGGATAAAATGGAAACAAAACTTCTGTAAATAAGGAGAGGAAGAGGGGATGAAGGGAGGGGAGGAAAATGGGGAAAAAAGAAGCAAGATACATAATGTACAGGTACAAATTCCCTATGATGAATGCAATCACTATGTATAAGAAAATGTACCTATAAACAATTAATTTTTTAAAAGAAATGTGTTGGAATCTAATTCAGTTCTATTACTCTTCACTTTAAAAAGTGTATCAGAAGATACACTTCTAAATTTTAATTTTAATTCAAAATTTTGTCCAAGAAACAAATGTGTATCACATTAGATTTTATAATGTGGATTCATCTGTATTTTCTCCCTTGTACTCACAATAGCACGGCAACACAGGCAAAGCAAATATTCTGGTTTTTCCCATTCTACAAATGCAAAAATCGCTAATGAGATAAAGATCACCGAATCAACAGTGGAGTTAGACAGCTGAATCTAAGTTTTCTGCCCTCCATTTGACATGTGTGCTGTCAGTACACGATAATGGAGTAAAGAGCGCTGGCATTCAGTAGTAAGATGCTTCACTCTGAATAAATTTGATAGCAATTATGTTGGAAAACTGCCCCGTCACTGCTTACTTTAAGGGAAGAGGAAAAGGTTGAATATAAATAGTAAGAAATCTTCACCACTCTCAGATCAAGTATCCACTGCTACCATTAAAATGAAACTAAATGAAAGACTTTTCCTGCCTTTGACTTCATTTTCTCTAAACCAGAGGCATATTTTCCTGAATATATATATTAAATTTTAAATTCATGAATTTCATAGTATTTCACTGACCCAAAGATGAGGTGTTTTCTTCTGTGGTAAAATTTAATATTTTACACTCTGCTAACCCAGTGTTTTCTCTGTAAGGAGGCATTAAGTGTCCCTTTAGCCACAGAAGGCGCGATCATCCATGTATATTCTCCTCCCTAAAACTAGATTGTTGGACAAGGAGTAGAGCCCTCCAAAGGCGAGGGCATCAGGGCTTCATCCAGAGTAATTCTGCTGCCAACAGCTAATTCTGCCTGTTCAAAAGGAAGGCAGCTCTTAGTGAAGGTGGCTGGGTTCGGCAATCGTGTCCTGCTTCCAATCAAGAGAGAGTAAAGATCAAAGCCTCACGTGCTCACAGTGATTACAATGTTCCACAAAAAAAGAAAAGCCTGCACTGGATGCACATCAAAGTAATTATTACCAGCCCAGGAATTTCCAACTATGCAAACATAAAATATTAAACTCATTGTATCCTTTACCCAGATAAAGTTTTTTATTGTACTTGTTAGTTTTCCTATCAGGAAAACTCCTGTGCACTTATTGTGCATAATTTTGAAAATGAAGGGAAAATGTATTCCTCTTTCTGAAGAGGAATTCAGTTTTTCATTAGGATGTTTCATGTTCTGTTCTTCAAAATGGCAGAGATTGGGTAAAGGGAAAGAACCACACTTGAAACTGACTTTGGAATAAGACAGGCATGTGAGGGAACACATGTGGTCTCTGGGGAACCCTGTAGGAATGCCAGTCTCCACAGCAAGACAGTGCAGTAAATACCAGGGATGGGGACAGGTTAGAACACCTGGCTATAAATATGATACAATATAGTTGCTCCCAGTTACTACGTGTTCTTTCTTCCAGAACATTCTCAATACTCAACAGACACTTCTCTTGTCTCCCTCCCTAAACACATATGTAGTGGGTACCCTTCTTGTCATGGTTATTAGTTTAACCCTTGCCTAGTATATCTCAACTGCATAATCCTGAGCCCATCATCAGCATGTGTGGATGTGTGCTGACTGTGTAAATCCACCAAGAATGTGACTGTTCTGAAGAAGAAATTTCACACTGGGTCCTGGTTTCAGTCAACTATGTGAAGCATGGGTATGGCAAATCATATCTTCTTTACATTTTACCAGGGATTATTATTTAGTTATTAGGTACAAACTGTATCAGACTTTTCAGCCCATACAATAAACAAACTGAATACATACAATCTAGAGGAAGGAGAAAAAGGCGATGCTAATCAAAGGCCACAAAGGTCCCATTAGACAGGAGGAAAGATTTACTGATCCAGTGCCCATAATGGTGATTATAATAAATCATCATGCATTATATATTTCAAAATTATTAAGGGTAGATTTCAAAATTTTTACCACAAAAATTGTAAGTATATGAAGTGATAGGTGTGCTAATCATCTAGATTCAATCATGTCACAATGTAGACATATACCAAAACATCACATTGTACCCCCATAAATATGTACAATTTCAATTTTTCAATTTTAAAAAATTAAAAATCCAGTGAAAGGAAAAAGTGAAGTGCTGTATTTGGAAGTGCCCACATTCTATTTTCTTCATGCACAGGCCCGTAGTGTTGTTCATCCCCAAAACTGTAGGATGAAGGGGTGCACCAGAGTGGGAACGGAAGTTCAAGTTATCTCTGGCTTTACTGTGAGCAATATATACAATTAACAGCTCCTCAACTTGAATTAATGTTCACTTTTCCATTGGCCTGCTCTCCTAGGCACGATATGAATTTCAACTGACTAAACCAGGGATACAGAGCAGAAAAATGGACACTAAATTTCTCAGCAAGTAAAAATACACCAGATAACTTTCTATTCTCCATTTGATTCCTTCCTGTGTCACCACGACCTAATTTTCAGGGAGCGAAATCACTTTGTGCAGAAGCACTAGCTATGCCTGCAGTTCTAAGCAAAGCAGGGCTGGGCCATCTTCCAGCTGGGTTTACACTGTTTGGCAACTCTGGATGAGGCAATAACGCAATGTGACTATAAATGTCCCACAGTCAATGGAAGAATGGCGTTCAGCAAGGAGATAAGTAGCCTGTCTGCACCAGGAACACCATGCAAGCTTTGCTGGCCTGACCACCCAGACTGAGGTGAGGGAGTAACAAGGTTAACAGGGCCCTCAAACTCATGGAACCAGGAATGGCTGAGACGAATTGAGCTATGGAAAGAGAAGAGTTACGTGAAGCACAGGAACCATTTCCAAAGATCAAAAGGGTACTTGCCAGTATGAGGCGACTTTCCCAAGAGTTCAGAAGCTACCCAGGAAGGAAGACTTTTAGCACATTATAGGGGAGAACTGACGGCCAGAGACTCAGGAAATACCAAGTTCCTCAGGCCTGGGGATGTTCAAGCAGGCAGAGGGGAGACTATTTACTGGGGATTTCAATATTAAAATAGGAGAATCATGTTAAATGGCCTCTAGGAGGTTTCTTTTTTTGGGGTTTTTTTTTTGTTTTGTTTTTTTTTTTTTTTTTTTTTTTTTTTTTTCACTTAATGTTATGGTGTCAAGGTGCATCCATTTTCCTACAGATGACTCGAAGGTATCCTGCTTTATGGCAGAGGACTAATGATTTGG